GGTAGTACGTAGACATAGATAAAGAAAATACGTAGACGTCATCGAGTATTGGTGTATGATTTATATGAATAATGTATAATATACTATATTATCGTCTATAATTTTTTTGTTGATTATCGATAGAATTTTTTTCTTAAATAAAAATTAATGATAGTCTGAGAGATCTGAGTGGSCCCCTAAAAATTTTCTTTGGCCCTGGGCCCGTGTGTTGCACACACTCAACACACCCGGTTTTTACGGCACTGCTTGTATAGCCTGCAAATTAATTTTCGGTACTAAAAAGTCTGATATAATAAGACATATTGAATCTCAAAGACATATAAGGCCAGTATCAAGTTTAAAAAATGTAACTAAATTAAATTTTAGACCTGGCTCTGATATATAAGTACAAAAGACAGGACTTATGCTAGCTCATTATKTAGCATGTCATAATTTGAGCTTCAGAAGTATTGATCACTTATCTCAATTGCCTAGACTTATACTGAATGATTCAAAAATTGCCAACAGATTTCTTTAAAGCGTACCAAATATATAAAATTAATTAAAAACGTTCTTGCAAGTGTTGTTGAAGACAATATAGTGAAAGAAATGGAGAATAAAAAGTTTTCTGTATACTTTGACGAGATTCTGATGCTTGTTGAAAATTTATTAAATATAATTAAGAATAAAAGGGAAGAAAAATTTTTGACAACTGAAGTGTAACGATCGAAATTGTAATTAATATTAATAATATTATAAACCATTATGCGATAGCGCTCTCCGTCCCACGGTCCCCTCTGCCACCGCTCATAGGCAACACCGAGTTCAACACACACACACTGTCACGTATGCCTAGTATCCGTGGTTCGGATGACCGGCCGACACTGTATAATATTAACACCTCATTAACRRCATRTAATAATATAAAAGTGTAAAGTACACCGGCCAAACATATTTTTAACTAAATTATGCAACAATAAATTATATAACGCTGTTCGGTGAACAACATGCCCGGCCACGGCCATCTCTTGATCATTACTTTTTYTTCGCTTCAACGGGTAACATCATGGCAGAGTAGCGAAGAATAAAATCGCCGAGGGCGTCTTCGGGACGACGCTCAACGGTCCAACAGCAAAGAAGATGGTAATATGATTTTGTTAACGTTGTACATCCAACACACATACATCCACACCTTGGCCGSTGAATTGATATTATAAAATATGATCGTTCCTCGTTCGTATATATATACTATATTCATATACCATTATTATTTATTTATTCATACACTGGTAACCAATATTCGGAGCAGTGTTTGGAATTGGCATATCGTCCAATTCCATATTATTATATTCTATTTTATATTTATCCGTTATGTTTGTTTGTTCGGTGGCCTTCAGTTGCGGCCAAGTTTTTATGCCGTATGGCTTTTCTTGGCCATAAATTAAAATTTTATTTTCTGGTATAAATTAAAAAACCAATTCCCATAACTATGTTTTAATTTTTTTTCCCTTTTCCGATTTAGTTATTAATTTATATAAAGAAAATCCCGCATGCTCCGATTTTCGAATCTCGGCTGTGGGTTGGCGACCTATATCAGCCTCGTCAATGTACACTCCACGCCTAATCTGGGTATGGCCTCGTGCGAGTTGTTACAGAAGTTGAAAACTTATTGGAAGCAATTGAAGAAGAAGGATACATGACTAAACGAGATTTTGACGGTAAATGTGATCGTTTTTATGAAATTCRCTATAATTACATTTACATAATTCTAATCATAATTCTTGATTAAAGGATTTGTTATGGGGGGGACACTCACTCCAAAAACAATTGTCACATGGAGTAATGCAAAGAATTTAATACGATTTTTAAATACAACTTGTAATACGATTTGTATTGACGAAAATAATTTTTTTGATCAATTTATAATGTTTGAAAAATATTTCAAAGAACAAAGTGAAGAATGACATAACATATCACTCGAAGAACGTTTGTTATCAGTAGGGAACGGATTTGAATGCTAATTTCATTTTTTTCTGAATGTCCGAAAACATTGGTTTCCAAGCAAAAAGTTCATTTCACATATCAAAGAATTAAAAAATGTAACTTTTATTTTGCATTTTTTTGCATTTTTAAGTCTTTAATGCATTTTGTGGTTTTTAAGACATTTTTTCAACATTTTCCACATTCATTCTAAAAAAAAAATTAAAATACCTTGCTATGTACTGACGTCCCGCTGAGACATCTAAACACGCATATACAGTATACACGTAGATATGTATAAGTGACCCTGGGGCGTATGATTTCGCCAACCAATTATATTGTGTAGGACATCAATAGCTGTATCGAAGGCCAAACACCTAGCCTTTCCAAAATATTACCATAGTAATTAGATATACGAAATATTAAATATGAAATCGTAGTCTTGGCAGGCGTAACTAGAGATATGATTAATGTCGTTGGGTTATTGAGATTACGTATCGCGAATAACCAGGATATGGACCGACCGGTCGCATGGGCGTGGGAAGCTGCGATATTAGAATAATACACGCGTACGCTTTTGCACGACTCGGCCATGGACACATACGTATCTTATCGATAGGAGAGGAAACGCAGGGAGTAGGACTATCTGGACTATATAGGAGAGTCCCGATTAGACCCAATTCAGACGTGAGCCACCAGAGTCAGAACAAGCACATTCACGCCAAACACCAGTCCAACTTAATTATTCGGACTTAGAATATTTTTAAATTAAATCATTATTGTTAAATAATAGTGTTTTATTCACATCATAATCAAATAAATATCTAATAATTAATCACCAAACAAGTTGTTATACTTATTTCACTCAATCCATCTACCTCAACAAAAGTCGTTCGTCCTCCTGTATGCTGGGACGCTACAAAGTTGGCGCAGTCGGTAGGATTATTTGATCAATTTATGCTTACATTACAGTATGTTACACAAGAGAAAATCGATGAATGGAACTTAGAAAAAAAAACCCACGGATCAACGCTGGGTTTGTATTTTCAAATATTTTAAAGAAAAAGACATACAATGTGATAAAATGTTAATAATAGTAGAATATGTGTTATGTCTGCCGGGTTCCAATGCATCAACTGAACGTGTTTTCAGTCACATATCAAAAATTTGGACCAAGGAAAAAACCCAGTTGAACGTGTCTACATTAAAGGCATTAGTAATAACCAAGTTAAACTTTGATTACACTTGTTTGGAATTTTATGAATTWTTAAAAAAAAATAATTTGTTACTAAAAAAAATTGTATCTAAGGATAAGTATTAAAACTGTAATTGTAAAAATTTTAAATAAAATGAAATGTAATGTATATGTATTTGCTATTATTATGTATTTACATTTTACGCGCCTCTTTTTTTAATTGTCCTCCTTTAGGATAAAATAATTATGGTCACACTACTTAAGTTGTATGCTATCTCTTTCTAACAATGTTGGTGTACACGATGTGTACGACAACAACAATTGCATGTTATTCATGACTATCCATAATTTACGATTATTTGTAGTTGGACTATCGATAACTATCAATAGTTTTCGATACTATTTTTTTAAATCAAATTCTCGTTATTAATTATGATTCTTCATTAATTAAAGTTCTTTAATATCTAAATGATTTTCAAGCTTCAATTTCAAATTTTCAACCTTATTTTTATATGATTTTTTAGATCTAAAATGGTAGTATAGGAATTGTGTTTAATGTACCTAAATATAATTAATATTAGTGGTGGCAATAAATAAAAACATAATATCAAACAGTGACGTATTTTGGTCTTTGGGTGGTCACAAGAGTTTTATTTAGGTAATAAATTTCCACAATTTCGTTATAAAGCACTAAGCAGTGCAGTCATGTAACTACTAAGTAGTAAGTATTAATGTATCAATAAAAAAATATAAAATTGGTCGTCATAAAATATGATCAGTTATCTATAATAACCAATCATTTTGATTAAGAAATATTAACATATCCACATTTTTGGCTTTTATTCTGAACCGTCTGTCAGAAACAATTATACCAGCTTTACTAAATATTCATTCAAATGGGACTGAAGAGGCAGGAGCACATAAGATTTTTTAGCACATGTAGCAAGAGTCCCAAGACTGTCGTTATAAAAATCATAACTTTTAGATTTAAAATTTGTTTATTAGCATTTAGATGTTAGGAACTTACATTTCAAAATATTAAAGGATCCATATCATTATTTGTATTTGGACGTTCCATGTATTCTCTTATATATTATTGAATTGGCAGTTACTGTCCTATTTTTACTTTTTTTCTGCTATTCTTGTGTTCAGAAAATCAAATAATGATTTACCTGAATTAGATACAGCTTCTGTAGTATCATGATTTTCATCTGGTCTTTGTGGTAATAACGATTCTTGCAGAGACATTTCACTCTGAAGTAGAGAAACTGCACGTTTAGCATCATCAGAAGATCTAAATGCCTCTTTTTTCAGTCTTGGATCTAATACTGTAGGTCTGTAGCTAAACGGGTTAATGTGCGTTCCTCATAAGGAAATAACCTTGTTTTAACACTTYCCACTATATTTTGTAAAATAATCTTTCCTTCTGAAGTACTTGGTTGTAGATTTATAAGATGGTTATAAATACAATACACTAAAGGTATAATTAATGAAATAGTAACATAATCACCTAAACAGAAAATTATCAAATTAAAACAATAAAACATTTTAAAAGTGCAATCTGTAATATTATAAACTATAAATTACCTGATACTTTTTTGGTTGCATCATCAAAACAACTCATTATTTCAATTAAATCTTGAAGAACTAAAGTCGTACTACCAGTACAATAAGGCCACATTTAAAAAACAGCAATTGTTCAGGAAATCAAATTCAATGTTCATAGTTAAATGACAATTATTCTGTTGGCACATATTAAYTATTCAGTACTGTGTTTGATAGAAAAAGGTTGCAAAAGCTATACTTCTCTGTCCATTATCATTGCTTTGTTCGTGAGCSCTGTGGAATCCAATTGTAGGTCTATAGATGGTCTCTCTACCTATTTTGGCATTAAAATCCCCAATAACAATTCTCACCRTAKTTTTTGGTGCTCTATCGTAAATCTCCGTTATTTCTTCATAAAATTCCTCCTTTATTATGTCTTCTTTCCCTTCAGTGGGAGCATGTATGTTAATTATAAATGTGTTTAGTGGTTTTGTGTCCAGCCTTATCGTGCATATGCGTTCAGATACTGGGTTAAATTCTTTTACACACATCTCGAAATCTTTATTTACAGCAAAACCCACACCAAACTGGTG